GGGGGGGGGGGTATTTTGTTATGCTGTGGTTGTTAACTACCCAGAATTATATTGTATAAGATTTTTTTGTTTTTTTTTTAAATCCATTCAATCGTGTCCAATTCTCAGAGACTGCCTGGACAAGTCCTTGCAGTTTTCCTGGCAAGGTTTTTCAGAAGTGGTTTGCCATTGCCTCCTTTCTAGGACTGAGAGAAAGTGACTGGCCAAGGTCACCCAGATGGTTTTGTGCCTAGTCAGGACTAGAACTCATGTTCTCCCGGTTTCTAGCCTGATGCCTTAACCACTATACCAAATTGGCTCTGTATAAATATTTTGAATGAATGAATGAATGTCAGTGTGGTAACTGAAATGCCTACTCATTATCATTTTTAACACAATACTGTTTCTTGTTTCCACCTGTATATTATGAGCCACATTTTTTTCTGTAAAAGTGGTGTATAAATTAAATGTTTGTATGTTAAATCCTAGAGTATAACATTTAGTTAAATTTAGAATTTAATCTTGTGCACGCTAATTACCCTGTCCCAGCTGACCCAATCTTAGTAATTACAATCTGTCTTGAATGGGTTACCTTCCCTTGAAGACGTAGGTTTACAGCTTTCTCCAGTGCTGATTATTGATGCTCATGTAGCAGCAGTCACCAAGAATGTCTGCCTCTAATTGACTTCAGTGGGTATTTCAATTGCAATAGCCTAGACTCTCTTGAACATGGCAGATCTGACTACAATCATTTACACGAATGGTTTTCAAACTTTGTGATCCATGAGCCCCTAAATTAATTCGTAAATAATAACATCAGACTGTGTTCACTAGACTGTGCAAGGCACCCACTCCCCTGGACAATCCAGCTGTCAACTTCTCCAGGCAGAGCAGGAGTGTAGTTGAGCAGCACACCCAAAGCTGGATCACTGCTTCCAGGGCTAGGGCTCCCTTTAATGGCTTTGGACTCACATCAACACTTCCTGCAATCCCAGTCTATCAGCAACAAGTCAGTGAAGGCTACCCACATCCAGGTAGAGCAAGAGTGAGTGTGCTTTCTCTCAGATTTGTTCACCCCACCCCTGGTCCCCCCGCCCCCGAGTTTGAGAAACTCTGATTTACACAGAAACTTCATGGGTGGATTTTTTAAATGTTCTCTTATGTTCTGAGGCTATTCTTACAAAAAGGTTTAGTTATTATAAATACTAAAAAGAAACTTGCATTGTACCAGTTTAGTTACCACGAATCATGGCTTAAACTGCCATTTTATGCCTGTTGAAGTTTTTTTATATTGTGCAACAAGTGGAAAAAAATATATTCATAAATTAAGATTTTATTCATAATTTCTAATTTACCACTCTTTCCTCATTCTAAAACAGGGGACGATTTTTGAGAAATTAGGCATTTGCACTCAAATCCAGTTTCTAAGATTTATACTTAATTTTACACCACTTGTGAAGAAATCAAAAATCTCCATTACCGATGAAAAGTTTGAACATGTACCAGTGAGGATTTACCAGCCAAAAAAGCTAAATCCTGGGCTAAAAAAAGGAGTACTCTACCTACATGGAGGAAGTTGCGTATTTGGATCCAGCAGTAAGAGATTTCATATAATATTAACTTTTCCTTAATAGATGGAATGTATTTGTAATCAATATTACTGTGGAAGAAGTGAAGGAGGAAGAAGAAAAAAAGATGGATCTCCCAGAATTAGGAATGTGCATAGCTATGCACTTAAACCATCATGCTACATCCATATTTTCTGAATGTCCAAACAATTTAAGTACAAGAGGCTTAACTAATCAACAGAAACTGGAATGTATAAACAATTATAGAAATAGGCTACCCTGCAAATCTAATTTTATGCCCAGGAAAAGATCCTTTTCCATCTGTTTCAAAAGTTGTTTTCACAAGCAAAGACATCTTCAGAAGGTCTGCTCCTGAAGATCCTAGGATCAGGATGAGTTCATAACCAGTCAGATACCATGCCAGATAGACAGATTCTAAACCGGTTAGGACTAGAACTAACCCCTTTCCTCTGAGCTTAGAAATACCTATATTGTTCTAATTGACCCACTGATGCTTCAAATGCTACAGTAGAAAGCACGAAAATAATTTATCTGGCTGGTGGTTTAAGGCTTCTTCCTAATACAAATGTATAATACATAATTTTTGCACTTGTCAACCTGCTTCCAAAAAGAGCAGCTCTCAACATATCATGAAAGCACATGTTTCTGTCTGTATTTTCCAAATGGCCTACAACCGAAAATTCATTAAGTAGTTCTTACATACACCTTTTTTCACACAATAATCAAAGTGCTCTTAAAAACTCAAGTTGGTAAGTACCCTGAGTTTCAGTGTGATGACCTGTCCAAAAAAGAAAACACAATACAGAGAACAAATTGGGATAACAACATCATCTTACAATCTATGAATTCTAACTTCCCCATTGAAAAGAATTTTAAAACCGCAATAAACTTTACCTAATGGGGAGCAATCAATTTCTGTATTCCTCTCTAGGAAGCAGAAATCCAAAAGACCACAAACATAATAATTGCTGTTTCAAGCCAGCTATCACCTTGTCCAGGCAGTGCAGGAATGTAGTCTGGAAGCACACCCAAAGCTGAATTGCTGCCAGAATTTGCTCCGGGAGTCAGAGCTCCTTTTCAGCAGCCTTGCACTCACAACAACAGCTTCAGCAATAGGTCCAGCCTACCTCTGGGTTCTACCAAAAGCAACCTGGTATCAGTTGAGGTCCTCTTGCCTACTTTCACCTTGCCCCTTCTTCCAAAACATGGAAGTTGTGACATGGAGTTCAGACACCAGAAACAACCATTTCATGCTCGGTTTGCACATCCCTACCTGTGAAATTAATAGATTGAATTTAAACCCTTTCCTGCAGTGCAGGCTATATGAAGATGTATCTTCAACTCTGTCTTGAAGACAGATACATGAATGAAATCGTGTGCCTAATTTATCATTTTAACCCCACCAGTAGATTTTCTGTTGCAGGGGAAATTTCATTCTAAAGCAAAATACCCAATTTCAGTAAACAATATTTAATTCAAAGTAATATGTCTTTGGAACTTACCTTAAAATAATTTTGAAGATGTTTCTCTATGCCCAACACAAATAGTCACCTAAATCTGACAGCTGGGACCTTCTAGTCTACATCCAAAAAGTAGAAAAAGGGCATGCATAAAAATTCATGTTGCATAGTCAGAGCTTGCTGAATTCACAACATTTAGAAATTTATAATAACAGGTATTACTGTTCACTGATTTCAAATTGATTGTCCTCTAAATTTATCCATCATTAAACCTTTAAAAAAATAAGAAAAATACAGACTAAATAAGTGTTTACTTTCTGAAACAAAACAATATCAATGACATGTTTACAATGAGGAACTACCTGAACAGTAATCCTTTTTTTTCCTAGAAACTTATGAACCACTATGTTGCCATCTTGCTCAAGAAAGTGATTCAGTGGTTGTACATGTAGAGTAAGTGGTTTTATTTATATGCTTTGTCTACCTTATTTTCATGCATCTATAATATTTTTTCATTTTATTTTGTATTTTACAGTTGTTAGGCTTGGGCACTACTTGATGGAAAGATGGAGTAAAAATGTATTACAGATCATAATTAATAAGAAGTTTGGCTGCAGTTCTGTGTCCCTGGAAGATCATCCCAGGAACCACAGAATGTATTTTCAGCCTCAGTGAGAAGTTCCATTTCCCAGTTCTCTCTCCAACCAGCTCTCCCAAGAATCATCAGTAGTTTTTTAGTCTCCATCAGTGGTGTTTCAACATCGGGAAAGGCAAAGCAGCATAATTGGAGCAGGTTGGGGAACATTTGGATCTGCACAGGCCGCAGTTTTTCTATTCTTCAAAAACTCCTAGGCAGGACTGTCAGCCCTGGAGCTGGCATTCATGTTTTCCCCCTCACCTCCAGTTGTAAGAGTAAAGCGGGAAAGGAGAGGTAAAAAATGGCTATTTCTGCCTCTTTCCCAGCTGAGCCAGAGAAAAGGGAAGGGCTCCCTTCCTTGGACTTTCTCTACAAAGAGAAGCAAAGTAAATTAGCAAAGTACTTTAAGGATCTGCAGAACAAAATACCCCACATTATGTACTTTTGCCAAACCTGCCATATGATTGAACCTCCTTCTCCTTGTGCAAATCAGGCTCACAAATCCAAATTCACTTTGCAGCTCAGAACCTTGTCAGAATAAGAATCTTTTTCAAGAACTCTTTGGAAAGAATTACACAAATTATAGTTAAGTAATGAGGATTTTCCCTTATTGTGCCCCCTGGTGGCAGAGAAATGCTATCCTTGAGATGCTATCCTTGAGAAAGAAATTAAGGAAGCAGATGTACTTAGTGACAGAAATTGACCTCAAATAGTTGCAAACACCATCCCATCATGAGAGTCTCTTCTACTTTTTTTTTCCTGCTTATTTTGGCCACTGGGCTGATGATATAATAATACAATTCAGGTAGTCCTCACTTACTGTCCACTCATTCAGTGACTGTTCAAAATTACGACAACGCTGAAAAAGGAGACTTACAACCATTCCTCAAAATTGCGGCCATCGCAGTCTCCCCACAGTCACGTGATCACCATTTGTGACCTTCACAGCCAGCTTCTGACAAGCAAAGTCAATGGGGAAGCCAGCAGAAAGTTGCAAGTCACAGTCACATGATGTCTTGCTTAACCACCATGTGTGATTCCCTTAACAACTCAGCAGAACCAATGTCATAAGTTAGTGTGGTCATATGACATTCAGTAAGTGAGGACCATCTGTAATATTTTCCACTTTATGTTTTGTATGTAGCTCTATAGCCCTATTCTACCCATCCTTCCTTTGCACTGAAACAAACAGGTGGAAGGAATGTCTGGAGCAAATATGCTTTTCAAAAGCACTAGGAGAAATAGCAGAGAAAGACAGCCATGGAGAAGGGAATTGCTGTATCCTATCAATAGTGAAAGACATTCAAGTAGCAACTGGCATCTCCTTATCAGAATGGTAAAAATGTACTAACAAGCTAAACAATTGTAAGGTGCTACCCTTTAGTGGAACCCAGCAATATATTGCCTTCAGGGGGCTGTCTCAGGGTGCCTAATTCCTCCCAAGAAGATTTCAAGGTCTGACAAAGTCTGATTGTTCTTACAGGTTTCGTTTAGGTCCTGAACACCAACATCCTGTCCAGTTGTCAGACTGCCTAGCCGCCACTCTGTATTTTATGAAACACGCCAAAGACTATGGAGTAGATCCAAATTGCATTCTCCTTGCTGGGGACAGCAGTGGAGGAGCACTGACTGCTGCTGTTTCTCGAGAACTGGTCAAAAAAGGGAACCAGCCAAAGATCCGAGCACAGATCTTGATATATCCTTTCTTGCAGATATTGGATCTACTGCTGCCATCCTATCTTCAAAACTGTCAGGGTCCTTTTTTAACCAGGAAGTTGGCTTTAACCCTTGCTTTAAAATATGTAAAGGTGGAAGGTGTAGACCTAGAACAAGTTGCAAGGAATGCGCACGTTCCTGAAGACATGAAGCTGAAATTCAAGAAATGGATTAGCGCAGATCTTATCCCCAGAGAATTTAAAGCCCGAGGTTATGAACCCCCACCGCCAGCTCCATTTTCAAAAGAACTTTATGAAGCAACCAGACTGAATGACGAGACACTGCTGTCACCAATTCTTGATGAGGATGTCATTATAAAACAACTCCCTGAGACATACATTTTGACCTGTGAATATGACATACTTCGGGACGATGGACTGCTCTATAAAAAACGACTAGAGGACAATGCTGTGCCTGTAACTTGGAAACATGTAAAAGATGGAATCCATGGATTTTTAACACTTATTGGCACTGGAGTTTTTGAATTTTCCTATACAAAACCAGCAGCTGAAGACATTGTTTCTTTTATTAAAGGGTTATAAAAATGGGGAGAGGAAAGTATCCTGAATTCACCCATTTGTACATATCTAAGGCCTGGTTAAAATATATTCCATAAATCTTTCATTTCCAATGATGTCTTCATGATTCTCTGTAAAATCCTCTATAAAATATATTTCCTAGTCATTGGATCAAAGAACTGTTATTACCCTATTTTCTACAATAAGAATTGGTTTGGTTTGGTTTGGTTTGGTTTGGTTTGGTTTGGTTTGGTTTGGTTTGGTTTGGTTTTTCTCTCTCCCTTCATAGATCCTTGAACAGTAGTCATTCATCATGTTAAGGAAAATGTTGATCCAGTACCACATCACAAAACATTTTTCTTTTTTTCTTTGCACACTTTATTTTTTCTTTTTACTTTTTAATATTTTTCTTAGTTGGTATTACATTTTTATCTTTGTGTCTTTAAACTTTAATAAACATTATTACAAAAAAAGAAAAAGAAAGCCCTTCTCCACCCATGCTTTCCTCCTCCGTGCAGTAGAGTTTTATGCTGGCTTGTGCTGACCAGATTGCTTGCTGTAATTGACTATCTTTTAGGCCAGTGTTGTCGAAACTTGGCCATTTTAAGATGA